TCCCCAAGGGACTCGGTGCGGCTTACATGAGGCCAAGCCCACAATACATCAATAATGAAAACAATAACAAGTAATACAAAATAATAAAAATAAAACTCATAACAGAAAATAAGCAATAAACATTAATAGTAACACAACGACGTTTAAAAACCTATGGCTGGGCCAAATGTGTGCATTGAGATCTCTCTCTGCTTGTTTGTCAGGAGAGATGTAGTGACTTGAGTTTTTCCCTCTCATTAAAACCTTAGAAGAGATGGGTGTCAGAGTAGCTCAGACCCAGTTCTTGACTATTAAAATGTAGCTAGTTTCTTTATTATTGTAAATAACCCTTTTGTGATTTTTGAAGATTGGACTCTGCATTTTTGCCTCCTAAGCTCTGAATTCTTTACAGTCACATCACACGGCACTTCACGCTCTGCTCGCTAATGAGATGATGCTCAACTTTTGTATCTTGTTTATGTTTTTGAAAGCTCTGCTATTTTAGGGTAGCTTCTCCCTAACAGACCAAACTTGGCACACAGAACCCCCATGACTAACTCAACCTATTGGAGAGGTTTGAGGGGGTTGAGTGGGAGTTGTAGTTTACCCTACAGACAGAGAGCACACTGAACTCCACCGATGTTAGGTTGGGCAAGTTTGCAGCTAGAGCAAACTTACCCAACAAAACAAATTTTATGGAGTTTCTTGGGTTAAACTGGCATGATGGGATTTGTACAGGTTGAGGCAGCATAACTTCCTTTTTTAAAATGCGCACCATTCAGTCGGTTGAAGACGTAGCGGAGCGCTAGTGGTCTCATTCAAGAGGTGGGAGTATAAAGTTTTGTCCTGACACAGTTCAGTTGCCATCATGCGTTGGAACAGTGAGGAGCGTGCTTTTGCCGTTGAGGCCGACTTTTCGAGCGGATTTGGAGTGGCCGGCCCCCTCTTCAGATTTGGCCCCTTGTGATTTTTTTCTATGGGGTTTTTTGAAATCCTGTGTTTATGTGAACCGTCCAAGGACCCCCACAAGATTCGAAGACCAACATCCAGGAAGAAATTGCCAACATAACGCCTGCTATGCTGGCAAGAGTCATGATAAACGCCAGAAATCGGTTTACTCAGTGTATGGAGAATGGAGAATGGGGGATGTCACCTACCTAATTTGATCTTCAAAACTACGTAAAACCCACCAATGGTATCTTACACCATGCAAATTAGCTAAATTTTCAAAAAATCTATGTAACAAATGTTGGAAATGTGGCACTGAAGA